GTCATGCTCTTTATTTTCTACTATTGGGACTAAAGTAGGCAAACTAACCTCTCCTAAAGTTGGACTTTCATGAGTAATAGGTTTAGAATTAGTATACCTTGAAGATTCTATGTGATGTCTTCTTTCAACCCTCTTGGCAAGGTGTAACATTTCATCCAACCTAGTACAAGGTCAAATTTCTTCTCTTTTCGCAATCACTTTGGCAATCTCTCCATTGAGTCCATTGTATAATAGATCTATGGTGATCTTCTCATCTTCATAAACGTTAAGCTACTCAAGCAATGAGCACATCTCATCATAATAAGCTTCCACCCTTTTGTCCCTTTGTCTTAAGTTTTTCAACTTGATTAATGACTTAGGAACAAATTGTCTCCTCATTAGGGGCTTGAGTTCTCTTCATGAGACTATTGGATGTTCTTGATTCTTGTGAAGTTGACATGGTAGGAGCACGCGAGTGTTGGCAGAACTAGGGCGTGTGTAGGCGCTGGCGGCAGGTGGGGGCACGGGCGTAGGCGTGCGCGGGCTGGACGCTGGCAGGCGCGCGCGGGGCGACACCTTGTGAGGTTAGGCCGTTGATGGTGGCGTAGCCGTGCGCACTGTGGGCATTTTGCATGAGGTGGTGTTCTCTTCCTAACTTGAGTTGGTTCCAAGGACTTGAGAGGCCAATTATGATCCTATCATTTATTTTATATGTAAATATAATATATAAATATATTTAATTGCATAAAGTTGTTTATTAGTCCATGAGTACATTAATCTACTTAAATTACAAAAGTAAAAATATAGATATAGAAAAATGATGAAAGAAAATATATGAAAAACAAACGAATGGCAAAAATGTAAAGAAGGGATGCCTTTGACATGGGAATCTCAGAAACTCATGCTTCAAGAGGGCACCCAGATGTGACTCAAATGTCTTATATATGGGCATCTTCAGATACCCAGACATCTCGAGATATCCGAGCATCTTATATTACCGTAAAAAAAATGCGAGAATCCAGATGACATCTCATGGAAATCCACGAAACAAATGGGCACTAAGATCAAAGCTCTTTTGATAAAGAATAAGTTCCTTTGCCCATAAAATCGGAGGATGAATTCTACTTGAATGTTATTAGTATACAACTCAAATATAACTGCACAAAATTCAGGAAACTGTTAACTGAATTTGAAAGAACCATAGTAAAAAGATAAAGACACCCTACTTAATATGTTCAAAACAACTTCATATCAAAGCTTTAATTCTCCCAACTAAAATCTTAAAAGCCACTTAATAGGCTCTAAAAAGTATAAAATTGGAAAACAATAAAATTTACATAAAAACTCTTAAATAAAAAGTGAATCATAATTAAACAATAATTTAAAGTCCTTGACTATTCATATCCTACGTAATTTTATAACCAGGTAGCTTAAGGTTAATTAAGAGAAAATGTATTCACAACGAATCGACGGAAATGTAAAAATTAAATTCGAAAATACACGCTATTTAAAATTTAGGATAAAATACATTTTTAGTCTCTGAGTTTATAGATAAGATTCTATTTGGTCTTTGAGTTTCAAAAAGTGATAATTTAGTCCCTCACCTTTAGAAAATAGTTCTAAAAGGTCCGGGGGTTAAACTTGGTTTAGTAAGGAATGCTGACGTGGCAGGATGAGTTGGATATTTATTTAATATTATATTATTTTTAATATATGTGTCATTATTTTGTATTTTATTTTTCTCTCTCTCTTCCCCACTTTCTCTCCTTTCTCTCTCTTTATCTCTTCCCTTCTTCCCTCCCCGTGGACTTATGCTTCTCTCCTCCTCCCACTTGATTCTAACCCACCATCGACAGCCTCCGACCAACACTACCGCAGTCTTGACTAACCACCCAACAAGGCCTACTCCCTCCGCCTTCCGGCCCTCTAGATTGATTTGCCACAAGATAAGTCCTCAATTTTCTCGTCATAGTTCACAGTACTAAAATCCCGATACAACCATCATTAGGATAGAAAAAATCTAAAAACAAACAAAGATGGAATCGATCAATCTGGACTAGTTTTCCCCTAATTCATCCAAATGTTATGCAATTAGAAGAACGTATTGCGTGGAATCAATCCATTTCCTATGAAAAATCAACAGCAAGATAAGTCCTCTGAAGAATTAAATAACATTCAAATTCAACCAAGCCATTTAGGTCCTGTTTACCTACCAGGAATCGAAATGGGAATAAATCGGAATGAAAATCAATCGGAATCAAATCAATTGGAATGAGAATGTTATTCTTCTGATGCTGTTTATCAAAAATTTTTTGGAATCGGAATCAGAACTTCTTTGATGATGTTTACTAAAACTGCCAGGAATCAGAATCGGAATACAATTACTAATATACCCCTTTATTTTTTCTCGCTAATTACAAATACATTGTCGTGCTAATTTTTTTAATTATAATAATAATATATTTTAATATATTTTATTACTATATTATTGATCGTAAATATTTTTTTACCGTAGCAATTTAATTAATATTAATACTAATAAATAATAAATAATTAAAATAAAATTACATTCACTAAAATACTACTTTATTAGAATCATTCATTTAATATAAAATTTTATTATAATAATATTTAATAATAATGTTATTAAATTTTATTATTATAATAATTAATAATTATGAATTATATTTTAAAAAAATATGGTATTAATTAATAATAATTAAATTAAATTAAAATATTAAATATTAAATATAAATTTATAATATTTTATAATAAAATCACATCAACTAATAAAGGTGATATAAATTTTTATTAAAAGAAAAATTATTAGAAGTATAAATGAAAAAGAAATTAAATAATTAAATAAAAAGTTATGAGACTGGAGAAAGGGTAAAAGTAGAAAAATAACTACAATAAATGTGGAGGGCTCACGGAATAAGGAATGAGAATGAGATTTATGAGGGTGTATGAGAATAGAAAATGTGAGTGGGTCCCACCATTTGATTCCCACCCCTCCACTTTGGTAAACACCATCAAACGGAATAAATCAATTGATTATCATTCCTCCATTCCCATTCACTTGAAGTAAACATGGTCTCAGTTCCCTTCTTCCCCGACTCAAGCCGGTAGATGAAATCAAGAAGTGGAAGACGAATAAAACAAAAATTGCGAAAGAATTGAACAAAAGAAACAACAGAGAAAGAAAAAGATTGACAATGAGGGTGTCTTTATCGGAGAGATGAGGCAGAGGGTCGGAAGAGGCAACATGAACAGGGGCAAGTGGGGCACCCAAAACCCCAACTAAATTTTAAGTCCCTTGTAGCGCACTTTTCACAGCCAGATGCGTCGAAGGCACAGCCGTGTGGCCCCAGAAGCGTTCGGACCAGAGGGTTGGAAGGCGGAGGAGTAGGCCTTGTTGGGTGGTAAGTCAGGATTGCGGTAGTGTTGGTCGGAGGCCGTCGATGGTGGTTTAGAATCAGGTGGGAGGAGGAGAGAAGCATTGGCCCACGGGGAGGGAAGAAGGGAAGAGATAAAGAGAGAGAAAGGAGGTGTTTGGGATTTTGGAACGAAAATAAATGACAGAGCACAAGTGTACACCCGCCACAAGTAGTAAAACGGAACAAGTATTCCGAGTATCGATCCTCAAGGACAAATAATACAACTAATAATAAAGATAATGTTGGTTTTGATATTTAAAAACTCAATGCAATAAACTCAGCTCAATTACTTCAAATTAGTTAAGAATACAACAATTTTACATCTTCTTATGTCTAAGTGATTTTGAAGGTATAAGTTCATTCCTAATATGTCTATTAGAAAAAAAGATCTCAATTTAATAAAAATCAACCGTAACCTTAGATCGAGGTCCTATGTCTAGGCTACCCGAGCGAAATTTTTATGTCTAAAGTATTTTTCTCCAAAGTTAAATCATTCAAGTTAGAAGTATTTTTCTCCAAAGTTAAATGATTCAAGTTGGGAAAATATATCAACCCTTTCAGTTTTGATGCTTGGTTAAAACACTAATTGGCCAAATCAAGTTTTAACTTATGAAAACAACTTTAAGTGATAAAAGAAGAGAAAAATGTCTCTTGCCTTGTTGGATTTTAATAAACTTTAGTTAACTATTCATAACGGGGCTTGAGAAAAATAAATTTAGCTCATGATAATAAAGGAAAAACTGAATTTAATGTTATGGAAGTAGACGACTGATTAAAAGATGAATAGAATTAAAACAAGAAAACTCAAAATTTAAAATGGAAACATAAATAAGCTGAGAGTAAATATCTAAAGCTRAAATGATCACTTCAGGATGATGAATGAAGAGAGGGGAGTTCTGTATTTATAGGAACTTCAAGGTGGTTAGGAGGTTGAGACATTCGTGGAGAGTCATCCCTTTAAAACATCTTTTAGTTAGTTTGTTGTTGAATTAGCAATCTTCAGTGCATGGAAGACACGTAGAGGGGCTTGGGGAAGCTTCAAAACACACAAAACTTGTGTTTTACATTAAGGGCAATCTCGGGATTGGGGAAGGCGCCAGACGCCTAGCTCGATATTTTTCTGCACAAAATTGTAATTTTCATTAGAAATCAACTATAAATGATGTAAAAACGTTCTATATGCATGTATAACCTAAGATAACTTCAAATGAAAAGTTTTGGATACTAAACCAAGCTTAAAATATGGTTTCTGAGTTTAAAACGTAGGAAAACAACACCAATTTAACTTCTTTTTACCCTTATAAATAAGGAAATCAGGAGGGGAAGTGGGGAAGAGAGAAAAAAAATACAAAATATAAAATAATGACATATATATTAAAAATAATATAATATTAAATAAATATCCAACTCATCCCGTCACATCAGCATTCCATTACTGTTACTAACGAAGTTTAACCTCCCAGACTTTTTATAACTATTTTTTAAAGTGAGGGGACCAACCTGTGGAAACGGACGAAATAGAATTGTAAAGGCTAAAAGTGTATTTTATTGAAGAATTTAACTGAAAAAGAAAAAAGAAAAAAGAATTCTCGATTTTTCTAGAGTCCACCCAATTGAACTAGAAAACTTGGGCGGCAATCAATCGAAGGCGAAATTCCCATTCGAAGGCAAAACCCTTGCCCTCTCAACGATCCACTCTCTCTCTCCCTCTCTACTCAGTTTTTGCAGCATCGATTCATTGATTCTGGTAAGATTTGTGGTTTACTTTTTAATTTCATGCTCTCAGAACCTATTTCTTCGATTTCTACTATCATACTGATACGCCTTCTCCTCTCGGTTTAATTTTTGCTAAATGTGGACTACTTAGAATCAGGCCTGGTGAATTTCTCTCTTTCGCTGTCGCATGTTTTTGATACTAGCGAACTACTTGAGTTTGCTGTAGGAACAACTACTGCTTATTCGTAGTTTTAATGAGATTAAATGAACGAGGTTAAGCAAGATGTTATTTAGAAATCACTGTAAATTAGACAGAATTTATTATTGCTTTGGTAGAATTTGAACGCGAGAGGAGCTTTTCTAATGGGTGTTGTTTTGAATTTTGGACCTTTAGAGTCACATTTCATTTGAACTTGGAATGATATGGAATTTGAGGATTTAATGGTTTCCAGATTCTGCTGGTTGCTTTTCCTGTTACAGTTATTTAGAGAATGCAAGAAAAAAGTGAATAAAACGAGTTATAGAACAAACAAGTATCAGAACTATCAACAAGCTGGAGCGGTTTCACACCTTAAATAGCATGAAGGTTGGGGCGGAGCCAGAAACTGTTATTGAAGGGACAAATTTTACATTGTCACTTTTTATAAAAAAAAAATCTATAATCTTTCAATTGTGAAAATTTAGATGGCACAAAGTAGGAAGAACTTTAAAATCTAAATTTTTTTGATATAATTTTTTTCGTCTAAGACGAACCGAGAGGGGGCCATTTGCTCAATCCTTCCTTTTTTGCCTGGACAGCCTTCTTGGCCTTTCTCTGTACATGATTTAAAATAACTACCAATTATAGGACACAGGATAAATCCGAGGTTGCAGAAAGATGTTTTTAAAGAGGCAATGGGTGCATCCCTAAAAGTCATCTTCAGCTATTGGTAACTTGAGGCTGCTAAAAGTTCAGAAATGTATCACTTAAAGTTTCTTTAGTGATGTTTGTGCATTAATAAAAGATTACTCTTAGCAACACCTAAGCTTTGTGTAGCTGAAACTTTATACTCCGCAATTTTTGCAACATTTTTTGCAGTGTTGGACATCTTGTCACTATTACTTTTATTGGCGTTTTTGGACTTTTTTTGTAACGTTTTTTTGGTGGGGCAAAATATATACTACCTTGTGGTGTATTTTAGATCCTTATATCCTTATTATTGCACACTTCTCTATAGCTGCTCTGAATAGGAGACTCTCAAATTATAGATCCAACACTATGCAACATAATTTGAATAGGTTCATATATAGTCAAATACTGATGCCCATGCAGTTTTCTCTTGCGAAATCCTTTTATCATTTAATCTATAATTCTGGTTCCTGAACTATAATATGAGAGATGGAGGGCCTCTTTGGTCCTCCCCCAGTTCCCTCACGCTAGGCCTACGACTATAATGTGGTACAGATTCCTTCCTGAAAGAAATAATTTGTCACTCTAAAAATAAGAATAAGGGCTTATTCTGGAAAGTTTGGTGCCCTTCAGTTATATTTGCATTTGTTCCTTTTGAAACAATATTTCTTCAAGTTGCGATGTATTAGTTATTGAATTTTTAACTGCTTGCGACTTGTGTAATTTTATCTTACTTGCTTTAAAGAATTTCTCTTCCTCTTTGTTATGTTGTCTGTACCGTAACAATCTTTTCTAAAGGAACATTTTGTCCTATACTATAGGAGCCAAGCACACACTAGAATGCTGCCACTGCTAGCGTACCATGTGGTGAGCCAATATTACAGGCTCCGGAAGAACCCGATCACTGTCGGGCTTCTTGCTGCCAACACTCTTATTCATCTAAGGCCCGATTGTCTTCATCCTATCATCCCTTACATAGAGGATGTCTGGTTTAATGCCCATCTCATCCTTAAGGTGACTATTCTGGCTATTACTCATTTAATTATTAGTCAATCATCTAATTTTATATCTAGCTCTCTATTTTTGTCTTAAAAATTTTAAATTATAATTTCCTCTGAATTGGAGAAAATGATGGTTTTTAAGTGTTCGATGCGTGGATTGGCTTCACAATATTCAGTTATTCAAACTGCTATTGGTTCTTGCTTTCTTTAGTGTTGTATTCCTATCTATCTCGATAAGGATATACCTATGAAATTTTAACTCTTATAGAATTAGTTTCTTTTGTTATTACTTACCAATTTGTTTGTTCGTCTTTTAAACGAAATATATAATGTTGGCACTGTTTTTTACTCATAACTTTCGTTACTTGTATTACCTGCTTTTTTCCAGTACAAGGACTTGAGGCGCTTCTTCCTTTCGCCATTCTACCATGTGGGTGACCCTCACCTTGTATATAACATGATATCTCTTCTATGGAAAGGCATTCAATTGGAAACATCAATGGGTAGCTTCAAATTTGCTTCAATGGTCGGTTCGTTACTCGTATTGTCACAAGGAATTACATTGTTGCTTGTCAAATCCCTACTAATTTTTTTCAATTATGGGAGGCCTTACTACCGTGAATATTCTGTTGGATTTTCGGGTGTTCTTTTCGCTATGAAAGTCGTTCTTAGTTCTCAGTCTGAAAGCTACACTTACTTTCATGGCCTCCGAGTACCATCAAGTCATGCTGCATGGGTGGAACTAATACTTATCCAAATGGTTTCACCTGGTGTCTCCTTCCTTGGTCATCTTGGTGGGATACTTGCTGGTATTCTCTTTTTGCAATTGAAGCATATGAATTCGGGGTCGAATCCGCTGGCCATTCTTTTTAGAAGTCTTGGCCGAATATTGAGTCAACCTCTTGGATTTCTTTGTCGCTTGAATCCATTTCGCCGGCACAGGATTTCTGGGGGAGGAATTGTTGGTAGACAACAAACAGCCTCGGAAAGGACCGCAACGAGTGACGATATGTGGAGCTGTCGAGCATGTACATTTGACAATTCTGGTTTCTTAAGCATATGCGAAATGTGCGGTACAAATCGGCAGGATATTGAGTTGCCTTCTCATCAATCATCACATAGTTTCAACTTCAACGATCTATCTCTGGAAGAACTACGCCGGCGTAGAGTTGAAAGATTTGGATGATATGCAACCTATTGTTCTTCTGCTCATTTCCTCTCAGGCTCAGCCATCAGGTCTTCTTTCTCAGAAAATAAATCTGAAAGGCTTGTATTGTATTGTAAATCTGATGTTGATGTTAGATAATAAAATTGCCTGAAGTATCTGTGTTAGTTAGAACTTAGCAAATTTTGTTGAAGACAAATGGAAGAGTCATCTCGCAAGTTCAATGGAAAGGGTTAGTTCTTTCTCAACTCTTGCCCAATTCTTCTAAATTTTGTTATTACACCTTTAAATTCATTTGGATAATAAATGCATAGGCTAGAAATAACTGCACATTTATATATATATATATATATATACACCAAGCCAGCTTGTGTGTATCTCGACTATTCTAACGAAACAACCGTCGTACCCTACTACATTTGGTTGTCAAGGTAACTCGTAGGATACTAAATCTTAGGTAGGTGGCTACCAATGGTTTGAATTCATTTCCTCTAAGCTCTAGTAGGATAATAAGTGCATATTCATTTCGAAAGAGAAGAAAGTTCTGCAAAGAAAATTATGAAAAGGTAAAACGGGAAAAACAAAGTTAGACCTTAAGCTTTACTCCTTTATCAATGTCTCTATGCCATCATCTTAGGCCTTTGCTTGACGGAATTTGGGACTGTCGTCTATTGTTTTCATAGAGCATCTTAGTTCTTCAGGAGGGTCGTTTCTTCAACAAAAATCCAACGTTTTGGTAGAATCCGAACAGATAGAAATGTATTGAAATATAAAAGATGAATTAACTCTCAGATAACTCGAGGTACTTGGACCATCCTCTCTCTTGAGTATTCTTTCTCAAGTCTCAACCAACTAAATTAATGTCTACCTTTCACTTTATTTATAACAACTTCCTTAATTAGTTATTAAGGGTCTTTTGGTAATATTTCTCATTTCTTATTTTATTTAAAAAAAATTAAGCATTTAAGAACTATTTACATTTAGGGATGTTCATGACAGGGTTGGGAATGGGTAACGTCTCCGCCCCCCATTTCACTCCCCATGCCCGCAATTTCGAAATTTTGTAGGGATCGGGGTGGGGATTATGAATTTGCGGGGATTGGGTTTCCATTTTTTCGTTTATTTTTTTTATTTTTAAAATTATTTCTCAATCAAATATTTTTTTAAAAAAATTAATTAATTGCTTAATTTTCAACAATAAATTTTTATTTACACGATCCAATCCTCGGTAGAAAATAATCTGATTTTTTTTAGTATATGTATGTAGAGAGAATAATAAGATTTTTTTAGTTTGTATATTTATATCTATTATATATTCTATACTCTATACTGTGTTAAAAGTGGAGAATCTGGAAAAAAATCATTTTAGATTATTATACTCTTCCCTTAATTTATAAATTTACAAGACATGTCAAAGAAAATTAATTGTAAATAGTAAATTAATTATTTATCAATAATAAATATTTACTAGATTTACAATTACCTGGAATTCAAAAGGTTGGAATATGTAAAATGTTGTTATTTAATTTATGAAAACTTAATTATTTTCACTTAAAAAATTTATAACTTTTTCATCTTCTGCCTATATAAATAGACATTTTCTTCCATCATTTTTCACCAATACTCAACTTACATTTTTTTCATTATTTTTAGGGAAATCTTTAGGAATGGCTAAAGTTTTTCTAAATTGCATGACATAGCTAAAGTTGGTTTCCTAGATTTTAGAGGGGTGTATAATTCCTTATTTATCCCTCTACACATATCATGCCCATATTACCCTTGCTGTCTTTCTCCATTTTACCCATCCACGTTTCATGCCTCCTACATTCCCTTAAATCTCTCCTAAACTAGCAATGTTATCGAGTTAATATTGAAACCACCTTAACTACAAAATCTACATAATTCCTAAAATCTTTCCACAAAATCTACCTATATCATACTTAACATTGAAACCACCTTTAACTACAAAATCTATATAATTCCTAAAATCTTTCCACAAAATTTAAACCACCAAATCTACATATATGATTCACATTCCACTGTAATCAGCAACCTTAAATATAGTTTCTTTAATATTCTTACACAATGTATCATTAATCCCTACCCATTTTATTTTTACATTCTTTCAAGAATTAAATCAATCAACGCGGGAACATTATGCGATCATTGTTAGCCACGATTTTAGTTGGGAGGAGCACAACAATTATCAAGGGTTCATTACCGGGCACGTTTCAATTCCATTCGATTTCACCCTACAACAACTCTGTGAATGTATCTCTAGAGATCTTCATTTTCTAGAAGGAAAAAAAATTACACGTCTTTCACTTTTCAGAAATGGTACTGGCAAGTCGATAATTATGAGGCTGATAGTAAATAGGGACGTGGCGTGGGCCATATCCCTGTTGGCAGATGTCAGGTACAGCGACTACGGCATAGTTGTAGATACTGATCCCGTATATAACACCATCTACGGGATAGTGAAAGTTCAGATGCCGAAAATAGATTGAAAACTATCTACAGAAAATAGTCATATTTTGCATCACATAATCTTTCTTTATCACTAAATCGGAACAAAGATTAATGCATAAAATATGACAAAAAGGTAACCAAAACCAACAAAATCAAAAATGCATATTAGCAATCAAGGAAACATATATTAATATTTACCTAAGGAGAGATACGATGGATGTGTAAATATATGACTATTAGAGGTTATCTCACAAAATAAGCAAGAGACGTCAATACAATGGAATGGGGTAGATATAGGATTGTATAGAGTAGATGACCATTTTGACCGGGTTATCCTTGTCCATCAACATTCGTGACTAATATGCCACGATTATTACATTCTAAGAAGCTGCATTTTAATTCTTGATATATGAGAATTAGTCATCGAGTTACTGAAACATTACTCGAAAGAATCTTCCTATTGCAGCAAACCCAGTTCTTAGAAAATTAGATTATTAACGGAAAAAGAAAACTCCACAAGATTCAACCATTGAATCAAACCCCAAAAAAAATTTGTCCTGTAGAACCAACAAATAAGAATGCATATTCCTAATATTGTTAAAATTAATTAGTTCCTAATGAGTATCAATTAGTCCACATAAGTTCTACAGGAATCTAATTGGATGTTCTTGATTTTTTTACAATAAATTTTAAATATTTAACAATAAAATGGTTACATTGAGCTAAAAAACATCGGAATTGACAAGTTCCAGGTACTAATGATATTTATTGAAACATCAGAATTGAAGTCTGTGCTTAAATTTATTGAAATTTGAAATTTAAGATTGAAAATTTATTAAATTTTTTTTTTTGCAAACTAAACTACCTGACAATCTAATTTTAACAATATTTTTATTATTTATTATTTAATCTAAACTATATTTTCAATATAATCTCCCCAACTGACCATATCTACAAGGTGTCCTAAAAACAGGTTATGTCCAACAAAATCCCTTGAATATTGGAGGTTGCTAATAAATGGTCAATTATTTAAACCTCATCTATTTAAAGAACATTCAAAATCGATCGATGAATATCCTTTTGGATAAGCAAGAGTGGGGAAAGGGATGCCAAAGATTGTGTACGTCGAAGAGGGACGCCGAAAGTTTGAGGCGCACGAGGCTTGAGGGGCTTGAGACTTGATTGAATCAAATTTTATTTGATTTTAGGAAGGAAGAGTTAGGGCAAGTGTAGGAAGAAGGAGTTAAAGGACAAAAGTGGGAAGAAGGAGTTAAAGGGCAAAAGTGGGAAGGAGTCATTTGAGTTGCCTTCCCTTCCATAATGGATCCTAATATGGTATTAATCTTCAACTACTCCATCTATAATTTTAAAAACAGTACTTTACAACTTTAATCTTTATTTTTCCACTTTTCTAATTTGATTTTACGTTTTTTTTAGTCTATTTTACACTTTGATTCAATCTTTTTTTTATTTCTAAGTATTCAACAGATTTATCTTACAAATTTGGAAATTTTGAAATCTATATGTTATTTAAAATTTTTGAACTCTATAATTTCGATTCACTATCTTCTTTCCTACAATTTAGGTGCACTACAGATTTATTGAATGGTAGTTTCGTCACGAATTTATAGGAAAATGGTAGGATAAATTTACATATTTTGATGGGAGGGTAAATTTGTCTACATAAAATCACGTAGTTCAACTCTAATTGTTCTTTAGCTATTTTTATGATATCTCATTATTTTGGCCATTTTTCAAATCAAACTATTTAATTTAGCTATTCCTCTAGTTGCCTCTTATTTTTAGTTATCTCTCCTTTTCTTTCTAATCTCTCTAGTCTTGAAAGCAACTCAAGAGGTACATGATACGTTCAAGTTGGAACAAAATTTATATATCAAAACTATATTTTGATTGGTAAGTTTGTGTGGTTATAATTTTACTTTGATAATAAATAATGATTAATAAGACCACTCTATCTTCAAGATGTGTGTATTTATTCAGTTTTTGTTTCTTTTTTTGATTTTATTACTATCGCTTATTTTTTGTTATTCTATAATTGCAATATTATTTTGTTTTTTTTCCGTATTTGTTGATGTTTTTTATAATTAAAATTATTGTGTTATTTTATGTAAAATGCTTGTGCATATTTTAATTTTAATTGTAATTTGGTAGCTCAAATGTCATATAGATTTAAATTTTATAAGAAATTTAGCATATTTATTAGACATTGAAAAATATTTTTAGACATAATTTTTTTTAATTTATAAATTTACCAAACATGTCATAGAAAATTAATGGTAAATAATAAATTAATTAATAAATTATAAATAATATCAAGCATAACAATTATATGAAATCTAAAAAGTTTATTTTTTAGGACATAAGGAAATCTAAAAAGTTAGAATATGTAAAAGATTGTGTTGTTTAATTGATGAAGAGCTTAATTATTTTCATTAATAATAATTAATAATATAATTTCAAAAGTTTTGTGACTTTCCCTCATATATTAATATAAATAGGTATTTTTTTCTAAATGAATGGTGAATAATAAATTAATTAATAAATTATAAATAGTAAATCAATTATAAGAATTGTATGGAATTTAAAAAGTTTATTTTTGAGGACAGCAGGTAATCTAAAAGGTTGAAATATGTAAAAGATTGTTATATTTAATTTAGGGAGAGCTTAATTATTTTTACTAATAATAGAATTTCAAAAGCTTTAGAATTTATGTTAGTATACAAGATTAATAATTTATGATTTTATCTTTATTGAACTA